GCGTGACTTTTCATAGACTGTAAAAAATGATTATTCAAAGTTATATAATAACTAAAATAAAAATGCACATTTTAAGTAATTAAAAATAAATAATAAATGAATTAATAAATAATTAATAATTTTAATACAGAATTACAGAAAGCTTATACAATTTCCAGTTCACCCAAAAATAAAAATAGTTCTGTCATCATTTATTTCTCTGCTGACTTTCTTCTAAGGAAAACATAAGTTGCCATTTGAAGAACATTGTCCAATGTATGACACTGAGACACTGAGAAATTATTAAAATTTGTATTAATTATTAAGTCTTCTTTTTCATTCATGTTCATTTTTGTGTGATCTATGCCTTTAAGAATAAATAGGGTAACCAAATTACTAACAAACTAGTAGCTGCTAAGCCCCTAGTGTTTATTTAAGTCAGTTTAACTAAGACTATAAAAAGGGCTGGTGCAACTAAACATACAAAAATAATCGGTAATAACATCACTGAGGAATTTCTTATGATACTGATCTGGAATCAGCCGTATGTTTACCTGTGTGTGTAAGTGAGTCTCATAACACTGCACACACAATAACATCAGAGCACACACTGACCTCTGCTCAGCAGCTGATAAGTGCTTGTTCTGCGAGCGACTGAAAACACACCGGCTGCTGCGAACCGATAAAATCACTCTTGTTTTCAGAAGCTCGACGGAGAGGACAGCAAACAGCATCACGTCACTGAGAGTTTCATGAAACATCTGAACCCGCGTCAGTCGGTCAGACAGGTAAGATCACAAAAACAGCATTTGTTCACATCTCACATCACATTCACATCTGCAGTCCACACAGATCATTTACTGAATCCAGCCATGAGCTCATTAACATATGACTGCCTCATTTCTGGAGGACTTCACATGTGGAAGTGAAAAAATTAAGACATGAAAAATACAAGAAATATATTACTCTAGTAATATAACTAATGTACTACGAACTAATTGTTATGTAAATATTTAACTACTATATTTAAGTATTTAATCACATTTTACAAATAATATTTTATGAAATATTCCATTATTTCATAGTACAATCGTAATATTTAATAATAATAATCATATTATTATTAATGTATTATGAAAAACAATGGAATAATTTAAATATGTATTTTTTATTAAAATAACACTTTATATTTTATTTTACAAATAATATTTTTTGAAATATTCCATTTATTTCATAGTACAGCAGTATGTTTTAATAATAACAACAACAACGATTATTATTAATGTACTATGAAATAAAACAGAATATTAAAAATAAATTAAATTTTTTTTTTATTCAATAACACTATATATTTGAATATACAAACAACATTTTATGAAATTCAATTTTAGAGTATTCAATTCATAGACTAGTCTTTTTTTATTAATAATAATAATAATAATAATAATAATTTATTATTATTAATGTACTATGAAATAAAAATGAAATACTAATTTAAATATTTCATATTATATTTATTTTAATTAAAAATAAATATAATATGAAAAAATATTAAAACAACACTTTATATTTTTATTCTATTTACTATTAAAATCAATGCAGATTAAACAAATGTTTTATGAGCAGTACAAAATAAACTAATATAAAGGCAATTAACTAAATTCACACAAGTAAACTTACATTGACTTCCCATGAAGCCCATTTTAGCCACATTTAGTGCTTGATCAGTGCATGTATTCATGTGTCATTAAGCAAGCAAACGTCTTTAGTGAATTATTTGTATATAATTAACCAGGATGTGGTGTGTTTGTGTGGCATCTGTGCAAACGGATGTGTTTTTGGATGAAGGCAGAGGTCAGTGACCTTTCCACAGATCTTAGCGTTGGGTGTCCGCTAGCCATCGGACCTGACCTCCGTGCGTGTGTGTGTGTGTGTGTGTGTGTGTCTTAAAAATAAATATAATATGAAAAAATATTAAAACAACACTTTATATTTTTATTCTATTTACTATTAAAATCAATGCAGATTAAACAAATGTTTTATGAAATATTCCATTTACTTTACAGTACAGTAGTAATATTGAATAATAATAATAATAATAATAAGTATTATTAAATATTAGAATATTAATTTATTTGTTTACAGTACAATAGTAACATTTGTCTAATCTGTACAAATAGCATTATTATAATAATACCAATAGCTAATTTTTTTTTTAAGTATAATCCGTCTATGATGTAAACGTGCAGTGATTACAGGACGTCTCTCACAGCACGAACTCGTAAAGCTCTGTTTTGTCGGTCTCTGAACGTCCATTAGCTGGGTCCGATGCACTCAGACACCGGCTTGCCAATTCTTCTCAATTTTCCTGAAGGATCTGGTGTATCAAACCCATCTGTCTGAGTGCACTGAGTCACAGAGAAACACTTTCAATTCAGCCAATGTGTGCTGATAGACTGCAGATGAGCTACACAACTCTCACAAACAGAGCCACATGTAATCTCATAGCCCGGGAAAATGTGAAAACTGGACCAAAACACTCCTGACAGCACAGGCCAAACACATCTGTCTGATGCATGTACAGACGACAACAATTAATAAATGGTGGAGATGCAATGCAATGGCTAAAACATCTGTCTCAGGTAGTGCGGTGATCAATTTGAATATACATTGGGTTTTACTGTGCAAACTTTCTATAACAGCACAAAGTCAACAAGCTGAACAAAGCATCCACAGAAATAAAAAAAACCGTGAAGCTCACTAATCGACAACTAGTTAACAATTGTAACACATCCTTAATGTACGTGACTACAGACTGATAGAGTAACATGAATATTATGATATTGTGAGTGTCTGTGTTTGTGCATGGAAGACAAGACAGAGAGAAACTAAGTGCAAAGTTTCTGTCTAATTCATAAATATTATAATTTTTAATGTCATTCCTGAACTTAAATAAAGAATCATGATTAATGATCATCAACCGTGAGAACCGTCATTAACATATGACTACTATTTCAGTTTAGCACTTAATTGGATTACAAAAACTGCACTTCCTTATTTGTATAATAATTATTTGTATTTTATTTTATTTATTTTATTATATTTATTTTGGAATATTTTTTTCACACTTAATCATTTTATTTGGTAACATTTCTTATATATAACAGATCTTAGCGTTGGGTGTCCGCTAGCCATCGGACCTGACCTCCGTGCGTGTGTGTGTGTGTGTGTGTGTGTGTCTGATGTAGACCGACTCGCAGGCGTCTCATCGCAGCGGAGCAAGATAGATTATCTCAATGCAGATTACACACCCAAAACACAGCCAAAATAAGACCTCTCTCACCTTCTGGACGACTGTAGCCGCTTTAGTGTGTACAAACAGAGCAACAAGAGGATGTTTACTCTGGTAAAACACAACAGTTTACCTTCACGTTCAATCCAAGGGACATTTCTACCAGCCTTGACTTGATAAAGCCCCACAGCCTTTTGATAAAGCCTTTTTATTCAAAAGGTACACCTTTGTACCTTAAGGGTCTATATTGGTGTTTTAAAGGTATATATCAGTACCTAAAATGTACATATTTATACCTAAAAAGCACAAAAATTTACTTTTTGAGAAGGTACTGCCCCAGTGACAGTTTTTGTACCTTTTTTTCTGAGTGTGCAGTGTGTGTAAAGACTGAAAGTAGAGTTAACAAACGATCGAACACACACGTGCTACAACACTGCTCAGTGTCAATGTGTCTTTTGTCCACATCTATAGCTGAATAGGACAGACGACCCCCTCGCTACACACTCTCCGGGGCCCACTCTCCTCCTCAGATTCACGTCTGGTCTTCCCGTTTCTGGACAGCGAGTGCACAAACACACCAGACATGTGATCAGAGCTTGCAATGGCTTACATCACTCGCTTCTCCGAGCAAAAGCACACTTACCAAGAACGATGGCTGAGTTTGTTTTTAATTATGCATAACTGCAATAGAACAAATAGAACATTATGCAACTCTGTACAATCACTGGTGACTAAAGTCCACTCACAGTAAAGTGGAATTTAAAGGCTTGTCAGTGACTCAACTAGAGAAAAGCAGGAAGGTTTTTGGTTCTTGCTGTTTCTGCACAGATGTCCAGGCGTGAAACAGCAGCATCTTCACACACACACACACACACACACACACACACACACACA